AGAGTTACCAATTATGTTTAGATTAAAATGGCCTTGATATGTTGATTGCATCTCAGATATGTTCTAATGGAAACTCACACTCTGTTCATTGTTTATGATAACCAGAATCATTGGAAAAAAGAAAATTGAGATAAGAATGCAAAAATGCATTTTAAGAGCATCTAATTTCATTCTTTTTTATGTTCTTTGCATGTATATTAAATCAGCATATTTTTCAGCTTTGTTCAATCCTGTAAAGTTCTGTACAATTCACATGAATGAATTCTATGTGACTAGCTGAAATGGACACTGTAGTGATATGCAAATTAGTATAATTTGCATATGAGCAGGTAGCTCATAAATGGACACCAACGAGAACGGAAGTGGAATAAGAACTTAGTTGATACACGACATAATAATGGCGTCGCCGATAGGATACTCTTTGGTCCTTGAAGACCCAGAGTACGTGAACACGTGGATTCGTTGCTTTGCTGCTAATGCTAGATGTAAAAAGTTGAAAGACAACAAAAACAGAGGAGGGGAAAATGAAATCACCGACTTGTTCATGGCTACCGCTGGTTGTGAAGCGATTATGAAGGTTGCTACAATGGTTTACCCTCGAGAACTAGAAGAAATGACTTTCGAAGAAATAAGTCAGGTTATTAAGGGAAACATGAGGCCAAAGAAAAGACTGGTGATTGCAGAAAGGACCAAGTTTATGGCAATGAAGCAGGAAGTGGAATACGGTACAAACAAAAAGAAAAAATTGTGCGTACTGTGGAAAAATTCATGAAATGAAAAAAGAAAAATGCCCAGCCTTTGGAAAGACGTGTTCAAAGTGTTTAAAAAAATCACTTCAAAGAAGTATGTAAAACGAAAATGTGGAAAAGAGTAGAGGATGAAAATAGACAGATTTTTAATGTAAAAAGGATAATATACAAAATACTGGATCTAAGAACGAAGATACAAAAATAAAAGTGAAAATCAACGACTGTATTGTCGAAATGCAAATCGACACAGGTAGTGACGTCACGATAGTACCCAGAAATTTGTGGGAAAAAATGGGAAAACCGTTTTTAAAAAAAACCAATGTACAACTACGTCAGTTTGATGGCTCGATTATCGCAATTATGGGTTACTTTGAAGGTTCAATAGAATTAAAAGAAAAATATGAAATAGTACCCATTATAGTTACAAATTGCCGAAAAACGCATGGACTACTGGGGAATGATGTGTTAAAAATAAATTCAACGAAGTTGATTAATGAGATAGAAATAGAAAAAACAGGAAAATTAAAAAACTATGAAGCTAGCCTGAAATTAAAAGAAGATGTTTCCCCCTCCTACTACGAAGCGAGAAAAATACCAGTGCATTTATTACCATTGGTAATAGCTAAATTAAAAAGCTAATAAAGGAAGACTTATTAGAACCTGCCCCTCCAGGAGGAAGTAAATGGGCATCACCCATCGTGGTATTGAAAAAAAAAAGATGGTGACCTGAGAATTTGTGGAGATTATAAAATAGGGGTGAACCATAAAGTTTGTGCTGACTCGTACCCTATTCCAAATGTGGAAGTAGCTTTACATAAGCTTGCTGGAATGAAAGTATTTTTTTTTTTCGAAGATAGACCTAAAATCAGCTTACCACCAAATACCGATAAATGAAAATTTTAAAGAAGTGACGACTATAAACACACCTATAGGCCTGTTAAGGTGGAAAAGAATGCCGTATGGCATAAAAACGGCAAGTGCAATTTTTCAAAAAGCTATTGAAAAGTAATAGGAAATGTTGAAAATACCATCTGTTATCAAGACGATATATGTGTTGGAGATTTAAATGAAGATGATTTAAAGAAAAAAACTGAAAATATACTGAACCGGGCTGAGAGACGCTGGTATGACAATAAATACAAAAAAGTGTGTAACCAACAGTAATGAAATATCATTTTTGGGTTACTCAATATCAAAGGAAGGGATCTCTCCAGATAAAGTACTAATAGAGAAAATTCTAAAAGTTGCTACACCAAAAAATAAAAAAGAATTGGAGTCCTTCTTAGGTTTGGTAAATTTTTATAGAAAATATGTACCAAAATATAATGAGTTGACAGAGCCATTTGCTAAGTTAAGAAAAAAAATGTGGAATTCATTTGGTTAGAACACCAACAGAAAGCCTTTGAAAACTTAAAACAGATTCTGGCAAAAAAGCCAATAGTACAAATTTTTGACCCTAAGAAGGACATAACTCTAACTACTGACGCTAGTGAGCAGTCCATATCTGGTATTTTGTCACAAGATGGGCATCCCATAATGTATTTATCAAGGAGATTAACAACAACTGAACACAATTATTCGAATATAGAAAGGGAGGCACTAGCCATAGTGTGGACAACGCATAGAGCAAGACAGTTTTGATGGGAAAAAATTCTTGTTGAAAAGTGATCATAGACCACTGGAATTTATTTTCAACCCAAGAAAAGAGCTACCGAAAGTTACAACGTCCAGAATATTACGTTGGGCAATTAGACTGATGGCGTTCGACTTTGACATTGAATATGTTAAAGGAATACGATACCGCACGTTGATGCCTTATCTAGATTGAGGTTTTATAGAGAGGAGGACAAAAACGACGAGGAATTTGAAGACACATTCTTGCACCTTGTAGAAACCGATGTAATATCTGTAGATAAAATGGCTACTGAAACTACAAATGACCCAGTGTTAAATAGAATAATGTCGAGGATAAAACAGAATCGCTGGGGAAATTGTTCAATGGCTGAAAGACCATTCAAAGAAATCAGACATAAAATGACTATAGAAAACGGGATAATATGTAATGGAGACTTGGTAGTTCCCCCAGAAACACAGAGGAGACAGGTTATAAAAAAGTGTACACGATGACGTACATTGTGGAGTGGCAGCTACGCAAAGAAGATTAAAATTGGAAGCCTGGTGGCCGGGGTACTCAAGAGACGTAGAAGACTACGTAAAAAGATGCAAAAAATGCACAGAACTCAGGAATTTTAAGCAAAAGAAAATACATGTATGGCCCCGAGAAGTAGAACCATGGAGCAGAGTACACATGGACCATGCCTATGTCAATGGGATAGGACTATTATTAATATTAGTAGACGCATATTCAGGTTGGCCTGAAGTGGTGAGAGTACCTGATAAAAAAAAGTACCACCGTAAAACAAATATTAAGAGTAATATTTTCGAGGAATGGGACACCGAGAACATTGGTGACTGATAACGCACCAGAATTTGTGGATGCTGATTTGCATGAATGGCTAAGAAAAATAGGATGCAGACCTTACAGACCCCTCCTACCACCCTCAAAGTAATGGGGCAGCGGAAAGGATGGTCCAGACGGTAAAGAAGGGCCTAAAAGCATGCTTGCAACAGAAGGAGGAAATCGATGCTTTCCTACCAAGATTACTATTAAGTTACAGAACAATTCCACATGCAGGCAGGCCGGAAAGTCCATCTGCCTTAATGGGCAGACAATTAAGGTCCCCTTTGACTATGTCATATGCCACAAATCAAAAGATGTGGTACAAAAGAAATAGGAATATGCAACCAGAGTCAGCCCGAATTTATTATGCAGAAAGGACATAATACTGCAATATTAAATAAAGAAAATGGGAACAGTGTTCTAGCTCATGCTGACCAAATAAGATCCCAAGGAGAAGAATCTGATGAGGAAATGCCTTCAGAGATGCCCATTATTGATGTATCAGAAGAGTTAATGCAGAATGAAACTGCGCAGGAAGAAGTAGAGAGGGATGAATTAGAAGAGGAAGACCAGAGTATGCAAGAGGAACAATTTGATTATAGGGAAAGACGTGATAGATCTAGATCTCCAAGGGAAAGGAGAGGGATAAAGGAAGATGTTCGGGAGGGCACAAGAAGAAGTACAAGAAGTACTCGCGGTATAAGGCCCCTCCGTTATAGGGAGATGTAGTGATATGCAAATTGGTATAATTTGCATATGAGCAGGTAGCTCATAAATGGACACCAACGAGAACGGAAGTGGAATAAGAACTTAGTTGATACACGACATAACAGACACTAATATTAATATAATACTTACTCTGAGCATAAATATACTATGTGCATATCTAAAAAAAAAACTCACCTTCTAGGACAATCCTGGATATATATTTAGAACTAATGTATTTAATTTAATGCTTCTTTCCATCTGAATTTCTGGAGTGAGGAGTTAATATTATTTAGACTATTATGTAGACTATTATGTCCTCATATTTGTTGTTATCATAATGTGTTGCCAATTGTACTGTCTGGCCTTCATCATAGGACAGTAGACTATTGGATTAAAGTGTTGGTTCATGGATTTAGTGGCATTGTAATCGTGATTTCAATTCCTGGGTTGGACAGTGTGTACTTGGATTCAGTGGAAATGAAGCAAACAATAACTGAGCAGTAATAAAAGAGAACTAGACAAGAATATCCTTAGACATGTGCAGTGGAACAAAAACATCTTAAACCTGTAGATTAAATAAAGAGTTCATTTAAAAATTCCTTGTAAGTTACCAAAATCAGCATCCGCCCGATGAAGCCTGGAGGACATAATGGCCAAAACGTAGTAAGGAAAATATTCTTCATGTAAATAATTACTGTTTCTTGTTGTCCAGTGTAATTGATATACAACAAAACATTTACACACCTGTGCCAAACCCTGATGTGCTAAAACAAATCTGAGTATGAATTTAGAATCAACAATTAGTTTAGACTAAAACATGCTTTTATCCCAGTGACCAAAACTTTGTTGCCCATTTTTATATATCTATAGGTATTTACTAAGCTAGTCTGGCACAGGGCCTCCAGTAGGAATCAATATTACTATAAAAAAGTAATGATTTGCTAAACTAGTTAAGTAACTATTAACCTATAGCAAAGAGTCCATTATGTGTTGATATTAGGTTTTGCTGAACATAAAAATGGCGTATATGGAATTTGTTTTTATTTTCTGCTTAATGTAAATTTATTTTTGATGTTTTTTAGGGTTCTTATGGAATTGTAAAATTAGCATATAACGAAGAAGATGATACACATTATGTAAGTATATTTTTATTCCTTTATAAGAATGCATGTTAAGACACTTCTGTGCTAATTGGTTGTAAGCTGAATATGACATGTAATAAAAATTAAGGTAATCCATATATAGAAAAAAAAATGGTGATGAGGGGGGGTCAAAAAGTGCAGTGTGGTGCTCGCTGGCAGGCCAGCTATTTTTTCTTCTTCTTCAGTCACCTCAAGGAAATGGATTGCGTGGCTCCCTTTCTCAGCCGTTACATTGGGCAGTCATGAAACAGACACCAGCTCAGCTGTGCCTACTTTGACTTCCTCTTTGTCTGTCTGTCAATCCGTATGTCCAGCTCTATTGCACGCTGTCCGCCGAATGACTTTGGTCCTCTTGTGCTACTGGCACCCCGCTTTTTATGCTATTCCAATATGGCCAAAATTTTCATGTGTGCAAATATCGTCTCGTTTTGGATGAGATAGGTGTGAATAAATTGTGTCTTCAATAATGGCCATATTTATTTTTGTCATCACTTTGCAGGCAAGACATGTTTGCACTTGCTTCAAATTCTGAGGTAAGTCATGTCTTTCGTCACACCATCAGACTGCAAAATGATTTGAGCAGGCAGAGAAGTAATATGTAGACAAGATCAAAAGTAATTTACAGATTTGCAAGGTCTCATGACATCATTCAGTCAGTTGAGATGGTTGGGCAAGTGGTGGAGTCAGCAACCAGCATAGATTTAAAGCTCATGGAGCAAACATTCCAATAATTACATTTTGGGAATATGGTGAAGCACAGATACTTGGTGAGTGGTTGTTTTAGTATATCCTTGGAAAATAATTTGACTGTTGAGATAAGAAGGAAGTATAATTCTGAGTAGCCCTGAGAAAAGTTGTGGACACTGCATTTTTACTTCTTCTGTAAATCTTTTTTTTTCTCACATTACTTGTTATCTCTCTTGTGCTGGAAGCATAAAAAAAAACTTTCTTTCTTGCTAAACATGAACTTTAATAGCCAGCCAATTGTTAGCATTGAATGAATTTTCCTTTGTCTATTGTCTATAAGCTCATTTTAAAAAAAGAGCAAGTCCTAGTATAATTTCATTGAAAACTAATTTTGTGTCTTGCTTATGTACATTTTCTCCATCTTTACTTATAAAAGTATACTTATACTTACATGCATTGTCTACATTATTTCAGATTTTATTATACAATTCAATATTTTCACAATAGATAAATATTTTTATGTTTCATAAAAAAGAAACAAGATAGTGTAACATTGAGTTATAGGATCATAATATTGAGGAGGAAAAGTTGAACAGAAATCAGAGAACAATTATAAAAGAAATTGAAATCATTAGCAAAATAAGAACAAGAAAAAAAAACTGTAATGGCCCATTGTAGGAAATTATAGGAAGTGGCCAATCCAGAGATCTCTTTAACAGCATGCTGTAACCAGCATGTAATGAGTCTTCTGATTGGTCAATGGGCAAGTCAAAAACAGTCTACCTTGTTTCCACCTTGGTGGATAATTTAGAAATCCTCCCTCTTCTGACTCTAGATCTGAAAACTGCATGTTTAAATCATGTCAGGGTCACCAATTGTGGAATTGAAAAAGGTTGCATGTTTATATGTATTTTAGGTGAAGGTGCTGAGTTGAGACGACCAATTCACTTACTTCATGAGTAGGGCTGCCAAAACACACCTGAACAATGTCGTTGGAAAGAGAAAGATTATTTCCTTTCCAGAAGTGGGGGTCATAAACTTTCTGGTTTCTTTATAACTTGCATCATGGGAAAATGAATTTATTTTTTTATTTTTTATTCTTTATCATTATTTTATTTATGGGTTTTATTTCATTTTCACACAATACATTCCCACCCAGAAGAGGAGCTATACAAATACATTATTTATTTGAAATAGATGAACTCATTATTTTTGGTAAATGTTACTCAACTTCCTGAGTGTGTGTTTCTAGGTTCAGTCTAAGATTGCTCTAATTTTGAGGAGAATCCATCATGTTTTCCCAGTGGATAATTCATCTTTAGATGTGTCATTATAAATGGTTGGTATTTCCTTTGCTTTAGGTGGTCTTGACTGTGTTACAGGCTTCAGTCTGTCCAAGGATACATTTTGATGATTTCCAGAATTGAGCTAAGTAGTAAAATACTTTTCATTTCTTTCTAGGATTTTAAACAGTCTTGCATAAGGGTCTTTTAAAGGATGCCTCGCTCTGTCAACTCATGTGTACATTTATTTAGTTCTTGGCATCCTTCAGAGAGAAATTCAGTTTCCAATCATTTCTTGTCATAATTGATAAACCTTTTCATTGGTAAGCTTCATAGAGTCCTTTTCAGTCATAGGGTAGTAGCACTGATTACTGAAATGACTGGTGAGCAACCTTGGTCTGTTGGTAGGTTTTGTAAACCAAGTAATACTATTGGCAAGGCATCTAACCAGTTTTGTTTTCTTGACATTATGGCAGATTTAATTGTACTGTGTTGCCTTTCAATTACTCCATTGGCTCATGGATGGTATGCTGTTGTTCTTAGTCTGTGAAAGCCTATTAGATTTGATAATTGACTGAGAAGCTTACTTTCAAACTGGCTTCCTCTGTTGGTGATGACATACAAGGGAACTCCAAATCAATATATTCATGCATTAAGAAATGACATGGCCACTATTATAGCAGTAGTGTCTAGTATAGATGTAGCTTCAACACACTGGGTAGTTCTGTCTATATATGTTAATTTGTATCTTGCTGGTGATGAATATGTGCTGTCGTAATTGATGATTGGTGGCAATGGTCTTACAATATCAATGTCTATGGTTTTGAATCATGTAAAGGGTAGTAGAAATGGAACTACTGTTGACTTTGTGTTGTGATTAATTTTACTTTGTTGACAACTGAGGCACTCTGTATTTTCTTATCCATGCCAGGCGAAAAATAGTGGAATTTGATCAGTTTTACTATAGCTGTGAGTTCTGAATGTGACTTTATGGAATGTATTATAGATTGCCTTGCGCAATGCTGGTCGAGTACAGGTCAGCCTTACTTCGTTGTTTTATTTATGGTTTTATTTCATTTTCCCTCCCCAACAAAAAATATTTGAAGAAGCTGGTACTGTGAATACAAACAAAGAGAAAAGATTCAGAATATTAAGAACATTGGCTATAATAAACTGAAATACTACGTTTACATAAACTTCACAAAGAGAAATGTAAAGTAGTACATTATAACCTATTTCTCAAAAGCAAATTGTAGCAATGAATTTAGAGCTACATTTGATGACTGGGTTTATTTAATATTAATACATATTTATTTTGGACTCTTCATGGTTAACAACAAGCAAGGTAAAGTAATATTTTGGGCTCTTATTGTAAGCTGTAAAATTATTGGTCACGTCAAAGTTAATGATAACTCGAGACATACAGATTTATTGAAAGTTCATGAACAGGGTACCTTTTGAGTGGTACAGATCACAACCAAGATGCTTTAATGTAAAAAGTATAACCTTTTTGGCAAAGTATTACAGTCCCTAATTAATGTAGATTTGGTTAAGCATCTTACCTCACGTGACATCCTTTCAGATAAATAACATTTCTTCTGTTTCACCAGGTCTACCACCAATGTATTAACAGCTATCACTGAATTTGTCAATCAAGTTTTAGATATGAATGGCAAAGCTCAGGCTGTGGCCCTAGATATATCAAAGGTGTTCAACAGGGTTTGAGATGCTGGCCTTCTCCACAATCTCAACGGTTACAGTGTCTCTAGATGAATGTTTGGCCTAATTCAGTAATTTCTCACAACTCATGTAATGAAGGTCATGTTAAATATATACACTTCTGGTTCAAACATCAAGTGGTTAATAAAAATTCCGTCAAATTTCAACTTTTGTGTTCACAAAAAATGGTGTGTCAGAAGGACTGTTTGCCCCTTGACATCACTCAGCAATGTTTATTTAATAGATTATAAAAATATGTGAACTAAGTACAATGCAAAAATTATTATTTACGATTTTATAACAAATAAATATGAAAAGAAATCTTTTTATTCAAAAAATTTTTGAAAAATTATCAAAATATGTAAATCATCTACAATGCAATATTTATTATTTACCATTTTATAAATAACTAAGTAAACAAGTTTTTTATTCTTAATTTTATAAAAATATCAATTAATTGCTGCATGAAAGAAATGCCCAGAAAATACATTTTTTCAAAATTTATAATTACAGTTATTCGTAATCTGTTTATTTAAATTTTCATGACAGACATTTTTATAAATTTATGAATAAAAAATGTATTTTCATACTTATTTCTTTATAAATTGATAAATGATAAACATTGCATTTTATTAGTTGGTTTACATTTTAAAGATGTTGTAAATATAAAATTATTCTTGTAATTGTAATTGTGAATTCTCAAAGAACAAAGAAAATGTATAAATTTACTTTCATATGTTTGGGTTTTTATTAAAATTTTAATCATCACTTTTTAAAACCACAAACAATGAAAGTGGTTAAAATGATAGTGGTGTCAAAGGAAAAACCGTCTTTTTGACACAGCATTTTACAGGGTGCGATGGAAAAAGTGTCATCTAGTTTATGCAAAAATGAAAATAAAATGACATCTCATTTTAACAGATATATTTACCAAAATTAAACAAAAATATCTTGAAATACTAAAGTGTAAATGTATTCAATAAAAACACCATGGGCTTCAACCATGGCCTCCAGACGGCTTCAGAATCTTTGGCAACTCTTCTGGATGGTCTCCTTGTTTAAATTGGTAAATGCTGCCATAATTTTTACCTTCAGTTCATCTTTGGTGTTACAAGGAGTTTTGCTGGTCTTTCACTCAATTGCAGCCCACACATAATAAGGAGGTTGCAGACTGTGGAGTTATGTGGTCAGATGAAAAGAGTGATGTGGTCACAGAAATTGTCTGACAGCCATGACTGGGTTTCTTCTGCTTGTATGAGTGACATGATGCACAATCCTATTGCCAGACATACAGTCTTCCAGCAG